GTTGCAGAGCAGTGCTTACACCAAACCAAGGACTTTTCAGCTTCTCACTCCATCCTGCCAGTGGGCAGGCTGGGGGTGCAGCAAGAGCTAGGAGGGGACAGACCCAGGACAGCTGACCCAAACTGGCCAAAGGGGTATTCCATACCATCTGACATCATGCTAACCAATATATAGGGGTGGCTAGCTGGGGTGGAGGGGCCGGACTGCCGGGGTTAGGCTGGGCATCGGTCAGTGGGTGGTGAGTGATTGCATTGTGTGTCACCTGTTTCATACACATTATTATTAGTAGTACTATTATCATCATTATTGTTATATAATAAACTGTCTTAATAAACTGTCTTTATCTCAACTCACAGGCTTCACTTTCCCATCCTCTCCCCCATCCCAGAGAGGGAAGGGGGAGGGTGAGCAAACGGCTGCGTGGTGTTTAGCTGTCGGCCCGGCTAAACCACAGCAGACAACAATGAAGTGCTGTCAAACAATGAAGAAAGCAGGATGTAAGAGTTGAATGAGTACCTACTAAAGCAGTTTCTATGTTTGAGAAAGACCCAAACATGAATTCATATTTAAAAAAAATAAAAATCCTAATTAGGTAAGAAAGATGGAAGGGGAATTTCCTGTGCCCCATGCTCTACACTCCTTGGCCTACCACATCCACAGGCCAATCCCACAGGCCCCTGTGGCATCTAAAGGCAAAGTATACATGTATTTAAAATCCAGAGGGAATGATTTGTATTTATTCCCTGTGTTGAACTCCTCCTGTACATTTAATGCAGGCCTAAGAGAGAATTGCTCAGCTAGGCTTTTTAAATGTAGCATTTTCTTCAGTTTCCATGGGCATCTAGTCAGTTGTGGAAGAAAGAGAGATTATGACACAGCTTTCTTTTATTTCCTTCTCCACAGGATTTTGCATATCACAGGCACCAGATGTTTTTCTTTGCAGCTTTACCATGTTCTATGTTTTGGTATGGTATTAAACAGATGCCAAAATGGGAAGTTTTGAGAGGGAAGGGTGATGAAAGAAACAGTTAGCATAGGCATAAAATTCAACTTCTTACAGAGATTAAATATAAATTATAATTTATTCAGCATTACTTTTGAAATCAGTCTACATTCTAACAGCATAAAGTCATATTACACAGCAAAAATTTCCACCAAATGCCACATGTATATATAAAGTTCTGAAAAAGACATTTTTTCTTATATTCACTTTATGCAGATTAGGTCTGTTCCTGCAATTATGATACATGGGCCCATTTTTACTTGGACTTGCACAGTGCATTCAAAATGCTTATTTGAATAGTTACAAAGCAGAAGGGCGTCATGCTAAAATTCTTAAGGAATTGCAGTGAATAACACATAATTTGATATCTAAACCCATTATATTTCTTAAATCATAAAAACAAGTTGAAACTGAACCATGCAATTTCTGGTAGTTTTTTTTTTTTTTTTTTTTTTAAATCTGTCAGTGTAACTCAAACAGAAATATCCCTGCTGTTTTTAGCACTGTCATTTTGCTTGCTTGGTTTGCTGTGTTGGGAGTGTTGTGTTTTTCAGGAAATTAACCTTTATTAAAATGCTGTGAAAATGTACTGGTGATTTATATTATCCTTGTGGGCCTACTGGGATAGGTTTTACTTAGATTTCTTCTGACCATCATGTAATATATATTTTGTTCTCAAGTGAACTTGATTTGGGGATTTAAACATGAGGACAGAGGTCTAGAAAGAGACTGTTGTAAGCTGTACTGGTGGTCTCTTCTAGCTGAGAAAAGGTATTTTTTCCTTAGGAGTCTTGTCATTTTGCTAAAGATATGTCTAAATGGGAGAGTCTCTTTAATATCTTCATCAATAATCTGGATGAGGGCATTGAGTGCACCCTCAGTAAGTTTGCAGATGACACCAAGCTAGGCGCGTGTGTTGATCTGCTTGAGGGTAGGAAGGCTCTGCAGGAGGATCTGGATAGGCTGCACCGATGGGCTGAGGTCAACTGCATGAAGTTTAACAAGGCCAAGTGCCGGGCTCTGCACCTGGGTGCAACAACCCCAAGCAGAGCTACAGGCTGGGAGAGGAATGGTTGGAGAGCTGCCAGGCAGAGAAGGACCTGGGAGTGATGGTGGACAGTCGGCTGAATATGAGCCAGCAGTGTGCTCAGGTGGCCAAGAAGGCCAACAGCATCCTGGCTTGTATAAGAACCAGTGTGACCAGCAGGGCTAGGGAGGTGATCGTCCCCCTGTACTCGGCTCTGGTGAGGCCGCACCTCGAGTACTGTGTTCAGTTTTGGGCCCCTCAATACAAGAAGGACATGGAGGTGCTTGAGCGGGTCCAGAGAAGGGCGACGAAGCTGGTGAGGGGCCTGGAGAACAAGTCCTATGAGGAGCGGTTGAGGGAGCTGGGCTTGTTCAGCCTGGAGAAAAGAAGGCTCAGGGGTGACCTTATTGCTCTCTACAGATACCTTAAAGGAGTCTGTAGAGAGGTGGGGGTTGGCCTGTTCTCCCATGTGCCTGGTGACAGGACGAGGGGGAATGGGTTTAAGTTGTGTCAGGGGAGTTTTAGGTTGGATCTTAGGAAGAACTTCTTTACCGAAAGGGTTGGTAGGCATTGGAATGGGCTGCCCAGGGAAGTGGTGGAGTCACCATCCCTGGAAGTCTTTAAAAGATGCTTAGATGTAGAGCTTAGGGATATGGTTTAGTGGGGACTGTTAGTGTTAGGTCAGAGATTGGACTCACTGATCTTGAGGTCTCTTCAAACCTAGAAATTCTGTGATTCTGTATAGTTTGCAGCATAGAAAAACAATCATGCTAATTTTCTTTTTGTGTCTTAAGAAACTGATGCAAACACTGTAACAAAGCTATAGTATAAATCTGTGTTTCAAATAGAGGAATTCATACTTGTCTCTTAAAAATGATCTGTAAGCTTGCTGTAGATTCTTTTAATTCAATTTTTTTCGTTAATCTGTGTTATCCACTCTGTGTTGATCTGTTTTCTGTGCATATTTTACATTTTCCAACAGATAAACAGTTACAGGGAGGTGAACTAAATTTGTAGTCCATTTTTTGAGGAATTTAAGATTAAATAAAAATAATTTTGTATTTTGATATCTGCATCATACTCAAAAAATAACAAAGTGATTTTTTTCCCCTTGGTTAGGGCTGAAACTTTCAAAGAAGGAAAGAGTTGGAAAATTGAAGAGTGTATTTATAGCTTTATATTCTGAATGCCTTCTTATATTCTGTTCCTTATTTTGTGATGTTGTTGTCTTTAATGGTGTGTTATTAATTCATGGTCTGTTAAACCATTGCCTTCCATTCTGGAGGTCTCAATGAAAAGCTACATTTCTATACCACTACATTCTCTATATGAAGTTTTCTGATAGGCGATCAAATTTTGTATAATATCTTTAGGCATGTATAAATGTTTCTATGACTTGTTACATGGTGTAGTTTAAGATGCCACAAGTAAAAAAATAATAAAAACTATAGTTTTGGGGAAACTGTAGTAAACCTTAGTATAGTTTACTATAATATATAATAAAATATTATTTATATAATAAATAAACTATAGTATATTTATAGTAAATGGGGAGAACTGATAGTATTCTGTGCTCCGGTATGTGGCCATGTTAAGGCCACATTCCAGTTTTTCTGGAATTTTCTTAGGAGAAAAAATTGGGCTTTCAGTTTCTTTGTTCACATTGCAACCTGTATGGAGTTTACTTAAAAGTTACATAATTTAACAAACACTACATGAAGCTGATTTTGGTCTTTGTATCCCATACAGCATTATGATATGGTTTCCATGTCAGTCTTGATTGAAATCTATTAAACCATTTAAAACAGCAAAAATATATATATATTAATTTGAATTACTTGTACCCACTTATTTTCTTAAGCAACTTGAAGTTACTTTTGTTTTCTTTTTTTTTTTTTTGGTAATAGAAATAAGTTGTCTTTTCTGTTACGTGCTTTACCTACAAATTTTTAAATGAAATGTCTTCAAAGAATTGTTATACCCTTGTAATATTTACTAATTAGCAATTGTATTTTTTTCAGTATAAATAAGTAATTTAGAAAGAACCAGTGGTAGAAGTCAGTATAAAATTACCTAGTTTCTTTAATATAGTGAAATCATTGAAAGAAATGTATTCTATAACTTTGTCTTTCCCTGAAAGCTCTAATGTGGAGGCAAAAGAGATGTTTTCCCCGATCCTTTTGGGCATTGAATAATATCCTCTTCATTTGCCAAAATAGGATTAGTGAGTAGATCTCATTAGGAATTTGCACATGACTTTATTTTTATATAGATAAAAGGGAGCAAATTCCTCAAAGTCAAAGAAAGTCAAGAAAATAATATCTAGGAATCCAAGCAGGTAAAAAGCATTACTGCGAGGATTTTTTTTTTCCAGTTCCTGCCAGGGAAAATTAGCTTTCCTCCTTTCTTAAAAAGATGTTTGCTACATATCAGTAACTTAATAAGTTCCACGGTAAAATATAATTAAATTTTAAATAAATATTATTTACTCAAGGGCAGTCTTAAGAACAGAAAATATATAATGGTGGGAAAGATTGTTTCATTTTCGTTAAATTTACTTACAAATTTACTTGTTGATCTTTTGTCACATTATCAAAAGTCACATTAATAAAAAAAGGTAAAAAACAAAGAGAGAGAATTGTTGGGTAATCTCCTGTTACAGCAGTTTTTCTGCATAGTGATCAGGACATTTATAAGTATTTGTGAGCAGATAATTAAAAATTAAAAAGGAAAAGGAAAAATCTTGTAGGACAGAATAATTGCTTTACCCTTGTATAATCTGATGGCAAAAAAGCTGTTTTATTATGCTAGTTGGAAAAAAGGTAAAGTTTAATTGTTTAAATCTGATACTAGGAATAGTTGTATAAGTTGGTGAATCAATGTCCTATGTCATAGTCATTGGCAGATTTATAGAGAAAAAGATGTCATTGCAGTCATTAATGCTATTGTGTATGTGCATATGATTCTTAGACATATGAAGGACCAAAACAAGAAGGTTGCTAATCTGAAGCACAATCAACAAATGGAGAAAAAAAAGAATGCACAGCTGCTGGAAGAAGTTCGTAGACGAGAGGACAATATGACAGACAACTCCCAACATTTACAGGTGAGTTTTTAGTCTTTTAATAATTACTATTTTTTAATTGTGTTTTAGAATCATCAAAGGAAGCATGCTTCTGTTTCTTCATGGATGTATAACAATTATCTTTCTGCAAAGAGATGGGTTTCTCCTCTACTATCAGACAATGCTCTAATGACTTCAGTTGCACCTATGAAATATTTATTTTTTAGGGTGAGGAAAAAAACAGAAATAGAATTTGAAACCTTCTTTTCACAAGGTCTTTTTTTTTTCCTTAGTTTATAAGCAAGAAAGTAAGTAATTCTAGCTTGTTTTGAGGACAGTCAGAAAATAGAAGGATATATTCTTTTTGTATTTTGTTTCTGTGCTATTCAATTTTATATCCATACAGCATGATGAGCTTATATAGTGTGGTTATGAGTGTTCAGCTAGTTTCTGTATCAAACACTACACTTTTTTTTTTTAATGGGTTGAACATTTACATACCCAGGCGATTAGGTCTGTAAAATACAGCTTATTATTTTCAGGAGCATTAAACTGTATAACAGAAATTCTGCCATGTTTTGCAGTGTAGAGTTGGAAGGCAAAAATGTTTGAGACACACAAGCTCCTTCCTGTTCTGTGTTTCTAGAGGTAGCTATTCATGTTAAATTCCAATGTCTGCATTTCTCTATCAGCAGAGATATCATCATCTAGTTGCATACTCTGATCATTTAACAAGTGTGATTTGCTCTTATTAGCTCTCTATATATGCATATGTAGTTGGGTAAAAGGGTGAGTATAAATTGTCAGACAGGATAATGATGAATTTAGAATCTTCACCAAAGATTAGTTTTATTTTACATACTTAAATGAATGATAGAATCATAGAGTATCCTGAGTTGGAAGGGACCCATAAGGATCACTGAGTCTGTGTGAAACATAGAGAAGCGCTGGAGAGAGCTATCAGTATCTCATCTGACAGATCTCTTCTCATTATTACATTACTAGAACAGGAACTTGTTTTTCTAAATGTTATACATATAAATAAAAAAGTTTTCCTATATCTCTTCTTTTTCCAAGTAGACTTTGAACCTTGTTCTAGGAGAATTTCTACAGTAAATTATTAGAGTTCAAGTGTTGAGATTTGAACAATAACTAGCTGATCTGGTTAAATGATACGTTGCTTACTAGGGAATTCTAGGGAATTTGTAGTAAAGACCACAACACAAGTTTGATGCTTGACTTAAAAACTGTTCTCTGAGAGCTGCCTGTGAAAAACTATGAAGAGAAGTACTGAGTTCTGTCAGCAACACTGATGTCTCTGTACCCTGAGTTTATAGGTAAGCCTAATTTACAGTGCAATATGTCATTTTTGGTTTGATCTGGTTAATACAATAGTTTTCTGGAAAATTTCTGATAGATGGAGTTTGACCCTCACTTGCTTCATACAGTATTGTATTTCTCATGCATTCCTGTATACAAAATGGAGAAATTAACACTACGCCTGTCTTCAGGCTTGTTTTTTGTTGAAGCTGTGTCAGAATCAAGTTCAGCAAATATATCATAGAATCATAGAATATCTTGAGTTGGAAGGGACCCTTAAGGATCATCAAGTCCAACTCTTGACACCGCACAGGTCTACCCAAAGTTCAGACCATGTGACTAAGTGCACAGTCCAATCTCTTCTTAAATTCAGTCAGGCTCGGTGCAGTGACCACTTCCCTGGGGAGCCTGTTCCAGTGTGCAACCACTCTCTCTGTGAAGAACCCCCTCCTGATGTCAAGCCTAAACTTCCCCTGCCTCAGCTTAACCCCGTTCCCGCGGGTCCTGTTGCTGGTTTTAATGGAGAAAAGGTCTCCTGCCTCTCGACACCCCCTTACGAGGAAGTTGTAGACTGTGATGAGGTCTCCCCTCAGCCTCCTCTTCTCCAGGCTGAACAGGCCCATTATGCATCTGTGTAATGTTTTGCGTAGTTTATAACCTTAGGCTTACATACTGATTGTATAACCGTACATTCTACTGCACATTATAGTAGTAATAACACCTCGTGAAGTATTTGGTTTGATAATGTGATATATCAAAAAAAAAAACAAATTTCAGTGTTGAGCAGCTACTTGTAGTTAATGAGAAATGGTAAAAAGGATATCTTATAGCTTTATTGTTTTTTCATATTTTGGAAATCTGTCAGAGCAGTGTGATCACTAGAGGATAGAAGTCATTCCTAGAGTCTTCGATTAACTGCTAAAGTTGGAACTTTCAAGTCATGTAATGGGAACAGGTCTACCAAATGGAAGCAGCATAGCTGAACAGCCTAAATTTATAAAGAAAAAGCTTGTCTGTCATATAGGTCCTCTGTGCCATTCACTAGCTATAAAGCATTTGCCTGCTAAGAACGGTTCATGAAAACCAGTTAACTAAGAATTCTCATTTCTCAGTTACTGTGCCTTAAAATGTTAATAGTTTCATGTTGTATACTTTAAGAAATTGCTTTCAGTAATGTAAGTATTTATGTGTTGTGGCTCATCCTACACTTGCTAAGCTTCTGAAAAAGTGAAAAGGAGATGATCCCAACTGTTTCTGCCTATCAGTAGGTGCTTTTCATTCCCTTCCCTCCAGTAGCTCTGAGAAGGAACACAGGGAAGTGAGCGTTGGTTGTTTGCACTGCTGACATGCTGGAACAGCCAGTCCTGCCTTTCCTGGCATAAGTAAAACTGCTGCTCTCAACTGGTTATTATATTTCCCGTGTCTAAAACATTCCCATATTTCCTTGGCTTATTACTTCCCCTGCCTTCCTTAATGGTGACCATTGTGTTCGTGGCAGGGGAACATGTTTGTATGTTCTCTGTCACCTTGCTTCTTTAGTGAATTAGGCTGGCTGTCACTGCATGGCTCATGGTGTAGGGAAATTCACCTGAATGAGAATGGCTTGTTTGCCTTTACAAATTAAGCCATAAAATACCTAGAACTGCATAATATATATATATATATATATATATATGTATATATGTATGTATGTATAAGTGTATATATATATATATACTTATATATATTATACTTATAACTGCATATATAATATATCTTAAAGTACAAGTTTCTCCTTTTAAAAAATTTGACCAAAAGCACTGGTGGATGCATTTTTGATTTTAATTGGCCTGTATAGCTTGTCATTTCAGGTTGATTTTCATTTGAGGCTTTTATACTTGGTCACAATAAAGCTATTTAGTGCATTTGGCATAAGATAAACATATACTCCTGTAACATTTAGGTGCAAACACCTGGTTGCAGGGCTGGAACACATCTGCTTTCTGCAGGGCTCAGTGTGAAGATTTGTGAATGTTCTAGGTTAGAAGTTTTTAGGCGTGTGTTCAAAAGGATGCATATGATGCAGAACATGATAATGCAGTACATGATAGGTAAATGTGTTTTCTTATCAAGGATACAGTACTTTCCTCAGCTGGCAGACTATAAACTGAAATTATTCTACTGATGTGAACATACACAGAATTAAATTCAGGATATAAGAGTTGACTAAATAAATAACTTGACAGAGCAGAATACTTGATCACAATTGATATTAAACTTCAGTTTATAAATAATATGTAGAGTTAATAATTAAAATAAGTTGTAACATGACCTAAGAATTTAAATGAGGCAAGATTTGTGGGGAGACACATGAAATGAGATTTATACTTCAAAAACCAAACTGGTTTCTAGGAGCACTATCCATCTACTAATCAAAAATAAAATTAATTGGCATTCTAATTAATTGGTATTGGTATTCTAATACTGAATTATTGCTTAGTGAACCCTTAGGTTCTGACCACGTTTCCTCATTGCTGCTTCATTAGAAGAAAAAAACAAAAACATCTTCTACCAGTTTTTATATGTATAACACACAGTCCTCACGTCTGTAGTGTACTTGTTACATCTGTGAATGATGTATTGAGCTGCTAATGTGTATACTAAAATTCTCTGGCCTGATGGAATGATTGTATTCCCTGCTGGTTGACTGTGATAAGCTCAGCTGAGTGCTGAAGAACAATTAAACTAGACAAATTACATTTACTCAGCCAAGTCTCAATCCCTTTTCCAGAAGCACTGGAAGAGATGTAATAGGAAATCTACGATAATTGTGTGCCATTCAGGGAGACATTTGGGCCAAACTGAATATTTCAGTTGAAGTGCCATCCATTTTGCACAGCTTACGCAGGGACTGAAGCTTTACCCATTCAGCTGTCCACTTGCTTTCTGGTAGGTTTGAGGAAGTTAGGAAGTCTCTATTTTCTTTGAAGCTTCATTTAGTATATAGCAGTTCCTAAGGCTTGTAGCATCATGCATATTTATAACACTTTACGCTCTCTTTTCAGATAAAAGCTTTTCAAAGCTTGTTCATATCCTAGCATCAACCCTTGTAGGACAAGGTTGTCTCTGATGGCCACATCTCAGAGCACTCCAGATCTTCTGCTGTGACGGAGAGTGTCCTGGCATGTCTGGGGAGGGAAAACACTTTGCTCTCTCTCAGCTATCAGCTATAATTGTGAGTGATGTTTCAGGTGTGGTTTTGAGGGGGTTATTTGGATCACTTGAAAATTGAAAACATCAGGAAGCCAGACTTGAGATTAATTCTTGGGAGTGGAGAATAGTTGTGAGGTTTTCTGCTTTTTCCTTCCACAAATCAAGGGCAGACCTGTGCATATCTTGCCAGATGTGATGGTCATATATTATGTAAAGCACCACTGCAAGAGAGCTGATTCTTGAACACTTTATCATGAAGCTTTTTGAGAACAGTGCCTTAATTTAACATGCCTTATTTTTCTCTTTTTTTTTTTTTGTGAGTCTTAAAATGATTTTTTTTTTTATTATTATTTTCTTTTTTTTTAGGAGAAATGCAGAGCTAAGAAACTTAGGGGTAATGTAATAATGCTGTATACAATTCCTCAAAAAAATCTCCTCGCAGGACCCTGAAATGTTATAGATGTGAGACATAGTTGCTTCCTGAGATATATTTTCCTAGTTCATGCACGGAAAAAGTTCATTCCAGTAAA